CCAGTGTCCTCTACACAAGCAGTCCTGTTGTTCGCAGATATGGTAAACTTTACTCGTCTCTGCTTCTGGCACATGTTTAACTGGCAGCTAGGGTAATAATCTGTCACTGACACCTCAGTAGCAACAACTGTCCCAGGTAAAATTTGACAGAACAAATCTGGGATATGTAAATTACTCTAAAAAAATCCCCAAACATTACATGAATGTAAGTGTCTAAAAGAAACAATAACTGCCTTTAGAATGGTGTTTTGCACAAGGATTCAGATAGACCAAACATGTAAAAGATTTATCTCCCTAATTAGTATACAATAATCTTCTGATGCTGCTGCAGAAAATGATTTCGTTTCCTTGCCCAGAACTATTATTTCCCCAAGACAGAAACGTCCTCTAAGGTTGGAAAGTTATAACGCAGGGTCACTTTTAGCAGAATTGGTAACAACATTCCTGTTCCTCAGAAATTCCTGGCATGACTTCTGCTGGAATTCATTGCCTTTGAGAGTATCTTTGTCTAAAACATGATTAAAATTGAAGAACAAATAGCATACTACTTTCTGACTATGAGAAACAGGCATATTGGAGCCAGAGGCTTTAAATGACATTGCAAGAAACACCACAAAGTATAGTGAAATGACACTAATAATTCATCTGGAACACACAAATTGCATGTTTAAGTTGAAATATATAATAAAAATACACTGAAGACTGAAAAGTAGCAATTAAAGAATGCACTTAAAAATAGGACAGTTCTCCATAGAGTTATTTTTAAAGTAACTTGGCTGAACTTCTGATGTTGAAAACACTGTAGTGTTTTAAAACTCTACTGAAAGTGGCCACTTGCTTGTAGTACTACTGACAACAACCAATTTTTAAGATTCATACTTTAAGTAACAAGAGTGTCTGCAGTTCTACTGTATTTACCAGCAAAAGTTAGCTCAAAATTAGTCTGTCCCTTGTTAATGCAATGAGGGTAATTACCATCCTCCCATCAGAGGTGTAGTGAGCAGGAGAACCAGCAACTTAACAGGCAACGAGACTTTCCTACTGCTCTAACTCCATTTAGCTCTGCAGACATAATGTAATGAACAGAAATGCCTCCCAGTGCATCTTCATTACCATCGCTTTCCGAATTCCCATCAGTGACACCAGTGAAATGAAATGAAGGACAAGAGGATTTTCACTGTCATTGAGGAAATAATGTGGCCCTAAATATCTTGAAAACTCAGAGACTATTTTTTTCATCTTTAGATGTAAAAGAAATAGAAAGGCAAAAAAACACAAGTATGTTGGTTTGTTGAGCTGTCCCTTGGCTGGTGGCATTCTGTCTCTCAGAAAATTTCTGAAACCAGCAGACCAAACCCCAAAATCTGGCACAAGGCACCATGTTCCTGGGTTAATATGCACACCTGAGGCATCATGCCACGTGCCAGGGCTGAGGTTGCTGCACCCTGTTACAGGCAGACAAGACCCTGCTGAGCACAGGACTAAATTAAGGGGTCCACCCTGGCATCACAGCATTGTGCTGCTGTCTCCCCATGGCTGCACAAATCTGCCATGCCAGAAGCGTGCCCCAGCATGGGAGAGATCCTGCTACCAGGAAAGATGCAAAGGACCACTTAAAAGCTTCTTTGGAAACTAATGTGACAGTCCATATGAGTCAGTTAATTCACCTCAAAATATGAGATACGGAATCAGCCCAGCAGCAACAGCCACACAGCTAGACTAACCATCATCGCGTAAGACTTGGTAAAGTCAGAAGCAAGGTTTAATGATCCTCTGTTGTCCCTGGTGGAGAAGACGCACGACATGGCCTGAAAGAGCACCGCAACGTTCCAGTAGTTTTATATCCTTGGGTCGAATTGCTAAGTTGCCTGCATATCCTCCAAATCAGCACTCAAACAAAAGAAATAATTCAATTTGCAGAATATTTTAGATCCTCACCAGTACTTGAATTTAATTACTGCACAATTTCCTTAGCAGAAAATTCTATTGAAAAAAAAATGTTTCAGTTCAGCAGTAATTTGATAGCCTGCTGTGTTTCTGGAGCACATAAAAATATTTTAAGAAATTAAAAAAAAAAAAGAATCCAGTCTCTTTCAGGACTCTGAAATAACTGATACCATGACTTGGAGTTACAAGTGTTGCAAACGAGATATTCTGCATAACTTTTGGCTCCTTCACTGAAGATTCTAGCTCCCCAAAATAACTTAGTAATAATAATAAATTTATGGTCCAGGTATTTGAGAATGTAAGCAAATTTGGCAACAACGCACAGATGTGAGCATTCAGCTCTGCTGGTACACATCATTACAGACTTTTCAAGTGTTTCTTTTAACCCAAGCACACTCTCTCAAGTTTGCTCAACTTCAGCCAAATTCTGGCTGCGTTGAGTTTTTGCGAGGTTAATAACTGATGACTAAACTGCTGGATTTTCAACTACATTTTCACAAATGGATAAGGACCAATTCCAGCACCTCCTCTGCAGTTGGCGATAGTGTGTGGGAGGTGATGTACCTGGGCCCCAGCAGCCTGCTCCCAAATGCCTTATTACAACATCCATATAGCACAGGGATTCTGTGGTCTCTGGAGAGGTGCCGAGCTGTTTTGGAGCTGCCAACTCAAGAAATCCTTACTAGTCAGCTAAGTCAGCCTGTTTTGTGCTGCAATGTAAAACAAAAAAGCCAGAACTGGGGT